CGTGTTTGGAAGCCAACTCGCTAAACGACACGTGCGGCGTCCAACCCAGCTGGAAAATGTTGCCCACCACCGGCCACCGCCGTGGCCCTGGCGGCAACGCCCCCACTTCTTCCAACCGCCGGTGGCTACGCTCGTTGATCATGGCCCATGCAACCCATGCAAGAAGGAGTAGTACAAACCCACATATTTCGTAGTCCATTTATTTATTTTTTAATTTTATTTCTTACCCTTTAATTTGGATTATTAAGGATTTTAAATTTGATTTTGGAATTTTGAATGAATTAATTATTAATTACTAGGTGACAAGGCACTTTGTTCTTGACTGCCCTTCCTCTTACTACCTGCATCAAACACATTAATTAATATTAATTAATAGAAAATGAAAACGACGAGCACATTGGACTTTTCAAAAAAAAAAAAAAAAAAGTATGGTATGTATCAACTAATTGGATGTGTTATAAGTGAAGAAAAAAACAGTTTCATTAATTGGAGGAATCAAATAGCTGGTGAAGGTTCAATTATAGAGCCAATAATTGTTTTGTGAGCCACCAATACTATTTACACCTGCTCACAAATAAGATTTGGCCCTATAAATAAAAAATATATATGAGATGGAGCAATTTTTTATACAGTATCATAACAAAATTCATTATTAAATATTGATTATGATGACTTTATAATATATAAATATAAATATATTAATTAAATTCATAATACTATATTTATATAATATATATAAAAAGAAAAAATCTTATTGAGTTACTTGAATTAAGTATTAAAATGCTTGAATTCAACTTGATTTTTATTCAAATTTGGTTCGACACTAATCATATTAAATTTAATATTTATTTAGTTGAATCTAAATAATTCATGAATAATTTGACTCATTTACACCCTTATATCTATAGTCTTCAAATGTTTTTTTAGTACTCCTGACTCTGTTCTGTTACAGTGCAGTATCTATTTATACATACTTTCTCAACTTACTAAAGCACAAATAGTCAATGTCCCCATATCAAAAATTTGAACATGTAACCTTTCATTTAGGAGAGTCACAATTATACCGCTCGACCACAAGGTCTTTAGCTATAGTCTTCAAATATAGGACAACAAACAATTAAAATTGAATAATTAGACAAAAAGGGGGATATAAAAATCAAACAGAGAGGAGGGATTTGCGTGCAAATTAATGAATAGATTCTCATCCAGGTCAGCACCAATAAGGTGAATCAAATTCAGACAGAGATCAGAAACACATCTCCTGTCCACTTCAAATCTCAACCAGTACTGCATGTCTGTCTGAATTCCACTGTTTTTTTTTTTTAAATCTGAATTCCACTGTTGAAGGCTTGAAGCTAGCTACTAGCTATACATATGAAATCGATCGATGTTGATTAGTACCGTGTGTCTTTCTATCTAATATACAATTTTAAAATTCAATGTCTTAACCAATTAATTTTGAGATGGTACGAGTATAAAAATATTATCATACTGATCGACATATATAGTAGAATATTCCTACATACATATAAATACTTGACTTTTACCTAACTATAACAGTCTCAAGTCTCAACTCAATTTTCTATCTTCTTAGACATTCTTTTCTCCTCTTCTCGACGACTAAGGAAACCTTAATCGAGAAAAAGTTTAAGGGTAAGTAATAGACTGAACAAAAATCTAACATTAAGAAAGAACAATGAAATTTTACAACATCATATGCATACAAAAAGATCTCATATTATAGAAAAACGAAAGTAAAATACTGATGAAATAAAATGCATAATAAATTAAATAACCTTCAACAAATGGACTGATTCTTTACTCAATTTGAAGCAATGATCTAAGTACAGTCACATGTTCTCCATGAGCCAACTGATAACGGTATTTATAGTGGCAGCAGAGAGAATATTGGACCAATAAAATTACTAGAAAAAAAAAATGAAAAATATTTACAATGTTGAGGGGGCTATCCCACTAATAATTAATAACCGTAGGATTTGTCAGGTAAGACAATGACAAACACCGCATCTCCATCCTACGCTCAAAATCTACTTTTTAATGCACCATTTTTTGTTTTTATATATTGCCTATATATACACTGTACACACACTTTATGAAGCAATTATTGATCAACTTCTCTCATCTTTAAGTTCATTATTGTCATCACTATCCAATCATTTACTTCCCTATTTTATTCAACAAAGAAATTATTGGTTTGGAAAATCTAATCAAATTATCAAAATGTTGACTTAGTAATACAAAGTTTTAAGTTTGATTCTAATGGGAGCGATCTATTGATCTTATTGTCTCCGATTAACTATAGATAACCTAGGTTGGTTTACCTGATTGTGATCCTTTACCTGCTAAGGTCACAAGATAGGATTTACGTACTCTTTATCGACTAATGTTACAAGGCGAGTTAGCCCGTGCACATCTTTGAATAGTGGTTACGGGTATGTCTAGTCACCTAAAAAAAATTATTGATAATGTCACACCGTGTGAAAGTATCATATGATTCTAGCTAGTCAATCTAGTCATCTAGTGGTTAAATTTTTTTAAAAATAAATAAATTATTTTTAATATAGTTATAATCTTCTTTTTAAAATTTTGGTGAAAGTAATAATTAATATATGTTTCAACATTCGACTAATATTAAAGCTCAATTATTCAAAATATTTTTTACTGTGTCAATAAACCAACCTAGAGTTCACTTCTCAATATAAACATTTTAAATTTTTATTATCTTTTAAAGGTATCCGATGTGATAAGATTCTAATTGGGATGACACATTGACAATGACATGATTTTATATATACATGGATGATTATTATTGGTCTAAAGATATCATATTATATGTTATATTGTACTCCCTAGAAAGTTATTAACTTGATAATAATATATAACTATACAAATATGCCACTTGCAATAATGTAAGTTAACTAAAACATACAGCAGATGAAATAGTATATATACCATATGGCATCTGTATATCTCACATTCTCACTATCCCAGTGATCAATGGACTAGAATTCTGGGTTTGTCTGTTTAAGGATGAATAATCTACGTACTATTAGATAATATTGTTGTTTGTCTGTTTTGAGGATGGAATTGACTAAATGGTTACTATATTTTGACTTATTGGGCCATAGTCAAGCTTAATTCTACTTCATTACCTAGCTTAATTATATTATTTAATTGATAAATTAACCAAAATATGATACTAGCGGCCAATGAATGAATAGAGTTGACTAGAGCAACATGGGTGAAAGTGGTTTTTTTTTATACATTGTTTCTTAATTTAAAAGTGTTTGAGGAGGTAAATTGTAAGTAGCCTAAGTAGCATTCAATTAGTTCATGCCGTTGACTAGCTTTGTGTACAAGTGATTCATTTCTATACTTCGACTAACTTGGTTAGGTCAACCTCCAATTTAGATGGCCCAATGGCCCAAACTCTAGCATGGAGAGCCCTAGCTCCAAAATGTTATTGGTGGGAGTCAAGCCCTGTCACTATTGTTAGAGTGCTAACTTTAGGTCAGGTGCTCAATCACTTGAATTGTCAGGTCAATAGGAGGGGACAGAGAGAGAGTAAATAGGCGAACACGCTAGACGTGACGTGCACCGATTTTTTCTTAATTTTCTCAAAAATCGTGCAATAATTTTTATTTTTATTCTAACAAAAGAACCTTTGAATTATCTCTCCTCTTACCCCTCTCTCTCTCTTCCAAATCAACATATTTGCCTCAGGGGGCAACCCTCTACCAAGTTGGTCGAACAATTGACTTGATAATTATAAGGTCCAAAGTTCGACTCCATGTGGAAGTTGTTTATTGGACTTCTTGATTTGAGCCAATCAGTTATGAGTAACCTATGTTGTTTACTTTTTTCTTATTTTTTGTCAATCGTGGTCACAAAACAGACTACCGTTGTAAGCTTTCTCGTAAATCAAGCATATTTGCCTCAATGGGGATGTCCTTAGGTGCCTTGGGCAATATAATAATGAATGTTATTATAATAACTCATCAATTTGGAGTAATTTTGGATGATTTACTTTTGTACATGTGTGTCATGTTAAAAGGTTTGGCCTAGTGCGTAAATAAAAAGAATTTTAGTATCAAATTAGATGATAAAAGATTTTGATGAAAAGAATTGGTCCTTAGCCCGTAACTTTATACATTAATTTTTATGTAACATAATTTCATTATGATATTATATGTTGTTAATGATTAATGAATTTTTCGTTTAATGAATTTTTTTGAGAGGTTCGTTTAATGAATTTAATTAATTAAACTATAATGTGTGAGATGACAATTTTTTGAAGGACCACTTTAATAATATAATAGTACTAATTAAAGGCAACTTAAATACAATTAATAGAGGGGCCAATATATGAATGCCTCCATTTTCACAAGGGACCATTAGACATTTATGCTAGGACAACCGGTCACTAACATAGCCAATATAATATGGCTAAATTACTATAAAATCTTTCAAAATGGATACTGCGTAAGAGAATTTGTCTAAGTTCAAATTAGAAATGGCCAAGTGTTAAGTTAAGAAGACTCCATTAATTTTTTTTTTAATTTTAATTTTAATTTTTTTGTATACAAAGTATCATTAGGTGGTTGTGGTCTTGTGGATATTTAAACATCTATAAATTTAAAATATTAGACTTGATAATTTGTAAAGCAATGCGTTAGGAAGACATACAAATAATAAGTTAGTGTTTATCATCATTAATAAATTAGTCTTTATTAATTCATTAAAATTAATATTTTAACGGATCAACTTATTAATATTAACATTAAATACGCTATTTACATATTATGTTATCATTTTATAAATATTTTGATATGTTATGAAGTAAATATTTTTACTATTTTGTTGATTTAATTGTAGACTTAATAAAAAAAAAATTCTAAAGTTTTATTTTCTAATAAATATTAACATGACCAATTGTTGTTTATCCTTTTTCACTACAACCGCACCCACCCCCGCCTTTTCTAACGTTTCCAGAAATTTCTTTTTTAATTTTTAACTGCAGAATCACAGTACTGTTAGTCTGTTACTTGGAGTGTAGTCGATGGAGAGCGATGGAGCTTACAGATGCCGTACCGCATGTCGCCGCAGACGCACCTCCACCTCCTGCGGTGGCGCAAGGCCGCCGACTAGAAATTCTCTGATCGGGTGAGCGTTTCGGCCGTCTCTCTCGCGTTCCTCTGCTCAATTCATGCGGTTCTCGGCAGTTTATCCAGGTCCTCCTTTCTATATAGTCTATACACACATAAATACATATATGCAACTGTGTATTCATGAATTCAATTACTAATGAAATGTCAATACTGAGACGATTTTGATTGTTATTATTTGAATGAATCGTGTTTCTATTGTGTAAACTAACTATACGAGATAGCTTTTACTCCTTCGTGATTAACTCTGTAGTTTGCTTTACAAATATTTGGAGAATAGGTGGAGTGGCCGCATTTCCAGCATCAAATTCACTGTGGAGGCGAAACGTAACTGTCATGATGACGACGATAATGGCATTACATTGTGAGACGAATTTTGAATTTAAATTCTAAAATGCGTTGGGATTTTTTGTTGCTTTGCTAGTTGTTTATGTATATATTGACGTAATAATGGCCTACTAAAATGGAACTTCCCGTGAGGTATTTGGTTTGGTAGATCTTCTCACCATGACAATGATTTCTATTTATTTATATTATAATTTTATAATTAGTAGATATGCCATTGTCTTTTGTTTCTGAAAAGTATGAATATGATAATCTGTAGGATGGAGTGGTCCTCATATTTGGAAAAGTTTGAAAGGGTATGTATGCTTTTGGACTGGTGCAATCTTTTGCTTGATCCAGCTGACATCCTTGATTGAAAATCTATGACTCCAGAATAGTAAACTCCAAGGGCAGAGATCAATAAGAATGAAATCAAGATTCCAGATAGACATAAAAAGCTTATGGTTTGCTGACCAAGGTAAGAAAACTCTGAAGGATTAATAATTATATAAAGGGCCCTAGCACTATAGGACCAAGGTAAGTTTTCTCAATTGATTGGATGGTTCAGGTATCGCATGAATTTTATTAATTAATCATGCATTTGACTATGAGGTTTATATTATTCTTTCACATTGGACCTTACGTGGGATGATAACCTTGGATTGGATTTTATAGTATATAGTTTTCATTTTGCAATACATAATTTTCAGGTCACATTTCATAGTGATGGCTCTTAAGTACTATATTGTTGTAAATATGTGGTCCTGTATTTTGAGGACAAGTTCGTTTTAAGCATTGATTGAGAGATCTGTACGATGTTTGTACAAACTGCTTATTATAGCTTAGCAAAGAGGTTAAATTTAGCGTAAAGCATTTTGTTTTCTTCTGTACTGATGTTTTAGGCACTAACCAAAAGGGATCTTTCTGTTGGAGTGGAATCAGGAAACGAGGTGGTCCTGCTCACCTTTATGTGTTTTATTCGGTGATGTCTTGTGTTAAAGTCACGTTCATTGAGATAGAACTAAGATGAGCATGTATAAAGAATGAAGAATTATTGAAATGAAAATTAGTATGTACAGGAATGGAATTGCAATTTTTTTCCATGCTTAAGTTTCAACTATAGTTGTAATTCCACTCCTAATATTTTATTAAAGTGTACATGTAAGTGATAATAAGGTAGAGCTTAGGACAATATAACCCAAATCCTCCAGCTCATATTATGTGTTTTCAAATTTTCTTTGTACTAATAGCATTCAATTTTGTGGTTTATTTGCTTGTTGGATAGGTAAAGTGTATTAGCGGTCCTATGTTGGAAATTGTATTGTCCAATTAATTAATTGCGCAAAATGGAGTATTATCAGTTTATGTGTATATGCATTTCTAATTTGCAACTCTTATCAGATGGATCAGGCAATTTATTCTCTTTAATTAGCATGAAATGTTTTTAATTTTACCTGTCACTAAATCTATGAGCCTATGTGATTGAAGCTAATTTAGCTAAATGCTAGTTGATGCTATGTGACTCAATGCTTATTATGCTGTCTTCTCAAAAGCAACATCTGGTTATACAGAGACAGGCTTAATAAGAAAAAAAAAAATTGCTAACTTGCTATTAGTGAGGTTCTAATGTTCTATTGAAAGCAATTGGTACAACTACTCAGTCCATGGGTCTTTGTTTAATGGAATGAATTACCAGAAACCTAAGAAGGGGTACACAGGTTTAAAAATTAAATAAATAAAAGGTGTGTTCAAAGCGAAATATCTACAGAGAAAACTAGAAAACTAAAGACACATTATTTCTGGAAGAGTAGAGAGAGGCAAATAAATAACTACTTGAAGAATATAATATGTTGACTGTAATTTGCAAGTTTCTCTATATCTTTCTTTAGAAAATATCAGTCTCTCATTTGCACTTCCATTTTGAGCGAACTAATTTATCAAAGTAAATTTACTTACTAATGACAGGCTTTGTAAATTGATAGTCCATATTTCAGTTATTAGAATGATAGGAAATGGTTTCCTCAAATTTGCCCAAGTGACATTCCTTCTGTCATTGATGCCTTTGACCAGCAATGGAGAACAAAGCAATTTTTGGACCTTTGTTATTATGATTGTTCAGCAGAAAATAGGGTAAGCACGTCCTATGCTTTGTAAATGTGTGTTGTGTGTTTAAAATAGATACCATTATAATAATTATGACACCTTGGTTTCTTTTTGAAACTGCCTGCTACAGCTTTATCTTATCAATGTGCATGCTAAATTTTGTGTGCACCACTATGCTGTGCATGTTTATGCCCTCAACATGTAACTTTGTATGGCATTGGAATTGCTTAATCTCATACTTTGTTTACTGCATAACTCTAAACTTTTCATATGCCTTGATATTATGCAGTAGTTGTTGGAAGAAAGGAGTGTGTCATTAAGGTCTCATTATGTCAAACTCATGTGAGGAGCAAACATATATGTGGTTGAAGTGTTGGATCGTATTTTTTATGAAATTACTTTTCTAATGCATAGTTCCCAAAATGCCCTGAACATTTGCTCTCTTAGAAAGCTTTTGAATGCAGTTACTGGATTCCAATCTCACATATGTCTAAAAATGAATGAAATTGATCTGTCTATATTGAATTTCATGAGTATGTTTTCTTTGATCTTAACTGGAGACTTTTAGATATCAGAATTGATGTATATAAATCATGAAGAATTTAGGGCTTGTTACTGAGGTGTTTAAATGAACATTATATTTTGTAGTATGTTTCACTCTCTATGCTGGTTTGATGGGATATTCTCTTCAAAGAAGAGATTCCAAATATTTTATTTTGAAAATCTAAGAATTTTAGGCTGACTCCTTAATAATGTGAAATTACTGTGAACTTCTAACAAAAAGGATTTCAATATCCTTGTAATTTGTGTGTTCTGCTGGTGAACTAAGAAAATTTATAGTCTAGTTGGAGGTTTTCTTTACCTGGTTCAGCTGGACATTATATTTCTTAAATTGCTGCAGCAGGCATCCCTATTTTGATTGGCCAATTTGCGTAATATTGTGATAATAATGTGCTCAGCATGTAGTTCTCAAGATTCTCTCCTTTCACAAATATCACACCCTTATCTGAGGAATGGTTGAATTATTTCAGTGTGGCAGATTTGGAAACCTCTTGTGACCTCTATACTTTGGCTCCAGTGCATTTATTACAACCACTGCAAGGTAGAATCTATACACAAAATATGGGGAAGAATTCCCCAACATTTTGTGAAGCTTTCTTATATTTGTTCACTTTTAGGTTCTTGAGTTATTCTTGTTCAAGCTCTTAGTGAACTCCTTTGTGATAAAACATTCCTGGAGGCACCCTACTAGCTGCAGAACAAACATATCATTCTCTCTCTGATAGGATCAGTGAAAATGTGCGGTAGGTTTCCACATATTTTAGATATAACTGGGAAAATAAAGATGTGTTGCTGAAAATTCTTATATTAAGTTGATTGTATCCTGAGTTGATCACTTTTTTTGCACTGGAAAATATGCTTAAAGATGGTGTCATTAACATGTTGTGACATCAGGATAGGGCAGCTGAGAGTCAGTTAAGCTTAAAAGCTTTCCACACTTCTACCTGTCCTTGCAAGAAGAAAAACAGTGTATTGCATAAAGAGAACTGTCATTTGTCTGCCACAGTCATCAGGTATCTTTTACTGTCCTTGAATTAGCTGCACAAATGCCCCAATATATCTGGTCGTCTTCCAGCTAAATACTTGTGAAGTTGCTTTTCCTGAACTTTTGTGGTAAAAATATATATATATATATATATATATATATATATAAAAGAAGAAGAAGAAAAAGCATAGCTGCTAACCATCCCCTTAATGTAATAGTATTTACTCATATCCTCACAATATATGGCATAAACTGACCATTGACTGATTGACATATGATAAATGAAATAGTGTTTGTTGATCCGTGAATTCAGTCCTGAGCACAATGGTGATGTCTTTCCAGGCACATTTGATCATGTTAACTGGAAATGCACACTGTTGATCTTTTCTCATCTTCTTTATGGGGTCTGAAACCAAAGGAGTGACAGGCGGGGTTGTTAAAATATTGTATCAATTTCAATCCCATGACTACAGTATCAATTTTAATGATGATGCAGTTGATGCCTGTCCTAACTGCATCTTTTTCCATAATAAAGGTACATATGTCAGATCTTAATATTTTCTTTCTGCCATATTATTCAGTACAAAATCTTGAGTTTTTTTTCTACTTATTGAAATTTCTTTCTTATTCTTCATTCTTGTCTGAAATCCTGGATATATGAAACATTTAGTTCGTAACTGATCAGGGTTTATGGAAAGCAGTTGTATGATTCTTGCATAAAACTTTATGCAGTCATGGAGATTTCTTATATTGTTTTCTTTTTAAAGCTAAATATTGTCATGCTCTAACATTTATAAACGAATGGTACTTTCTGAGGAAGAATACAAGCAAATATCAGTTTTTTTGCTAAACAAATTGCTATTGGCTAGAACATCAAAATACTAGTTGAAGAATCAACCGGCCAACTGTTGATCGAATGCTCTTGGGCAAAAAGTATTGGAGTAAAAATTACTAGTACTGTAGTTGCAAGTTGACTTATCTAGTTCTAGAAGGATTCCTTATGTTGTACATGTCTGCCATCATATATTCTCATTATTCACTGAGAGAAATGACTCAACAAATTACTGTTGGTACCTTGATTTGCAGTTAAAACTAACCTCCTCTCCATGTGCTCCTAGTCCGCGGTTTTTTTTTTTAAATACTCATGATTCTATACAAGGTAGTATTTGTTCTATATTTTCTTAAATATTTTTCAGCCCAAAGAATCTAAGCCCCCACCACCGGGTTCGAATCTATGACCATCCATTTGGAATGGTAACCGGGATGCCATCACACTACATGGTAGTTGGCCTAGTCCACAGATAACTACAATCTTAACCATATATTTTATTGCAGGTTATGCTTTGGTTTGCTACAATTTTAATCACCAGCTTGACTGCTTGAGACAGTTGGTAAGCAGACTATTAATGTAATTGAATGATTGAAGTATCGACTCTGGTAGGGATACATCAATAAGATTTTGGCAAGGTCCAAAAGAACGCAATAACCCAGGAATCATGTTGGAGAGCAAAATGATAAGTGTGCAGGATCATTGTGGATTTTGGATACGTAGAAATGGGGTAAGCGTGCAACCTTGAACTCCCAAGTCAAAAAAGACATGAAGTAGAAGTGTAGACTTTCAGATTTTGACTATATATTTCTTGAATCTCTTGCCAGAGGAGAAGCTTCGACTTGAAAAGTGCGACTTCGGCCTGGAATAATGTAAAAGAGTTCAGTGGCATGCATTGACATTCTGGGAACTTTTGAACGTCAATCCCGCCTTCAATTTGTGAACTGGTTGGTAAGGTGATTCCTCGTAGTACTAATCAAATTGTAGAGCTGGAACCCATTCACCCACTTTAGCAGACAGTGTCACTGCACCCCACAGGCCACAGCCCACAGGGCGAAATTGATAAATTTTACATCGTGAAGCGCATTACTTTAAACCATATGTCATAGGATTATGGAAATTTTTAAATATGTAAAATATAATTCAAAAATAAAATGAACATTGTTGAATTTTAAAGAAAGAAACAGTGGTAATTAAAAGAAAAAGAAAAAGAAAAAGAAAGGTACTAAATTTGAAGCATTAGGTGCGAAAGAATAAAAGAAGTTCGGATTTAGACTTTGTAAAAGGTGATATGATTAAGTAGGAGTAGAGTCATTTTCATTAGGTGCAAAAATCATTTGAAGCATTTGGACAAATTATTAATCATCATTCCTTTCCATTTGATGAGTAAGAGGTCATAGTGCGTCGGTATATAGCTGTGAGCATATCAATTCTTTTAGAGAAAGAGAACTTATTAACTCGACATTGTAAAGTTTTGTCCTAAATATATTTTTAATTTGAATGGGTCTATAAATACTAATGTTGTTCTAAAAGTTATAAGTTGGTAATACTCGACCACAAGATTTTGAACATAATATATCTATTCTGAATACACCACAAAATCAGGTTATTTTTTTTCTTTTAAATCATAAAATCATAATCTAGTCTTGATGATAAATTGATAATCCTCAGTGCATAATGCATGCAGCAGGAAATAAATTGTGAGACTATAATGATGCCATTTTCACCTTCTCTGTCTATAAATGTGCTCTCTTGAAAAAAGAAGTATTTCAGTTGTGTTGGCAAGCAACTTTGTTGTTTAATGTTTGTTACTTAAAGCAAGATCCCTGCACTCTTCTCTTTTTTAAAGTTCTAAACCTCATGGAAATAATATAAAGGAGGTGATTGAAGTTGACATTTTTCCTGCTCTGATTCAACTTGCAGTAGTTGAATCTCTTTCTTTTCTTTTCTTTTCAATATCAAAGTATAACACCAAGAGAATAATAGCATTTTGTCTTATCAAATAATGGACGAAAAAAAAAAAACAAAAAAAAAACAAAAAAAAAAAAGAAGAAGAAGAAGAAGAAGAAGAAGAAGAAGAGAGAGTAAAGTAAAAGAGGGAGTTGGGATTTAAATATAATTTTACACTTGAATTCTTTCGATGTATATATGATATAAGCTTAGAAATATTCTTTTTTAAATATTATGATATATTTAATTTTCCTTAATATTACCAATGTCAATTGTTATACTATGGTTCATTGTTTACATTGTAATGTAAATTGGTGACATACAAGTTCAATTTTACTTTACTACATATTCATTTTTAGTAGAGTTCAGTATGTTTTGATACATGTATCAGTGATTCACTTTACAATTATTCATGGTATAATTTGTCTACTAATCCTTGTAGTATTTAATACAACAAAAAGTTTTCAAATGTGTGTTTTATTGATTCCCCATTCTCAAAGCTGAAAGGGAGGGAGTGCTAGTGGTACCTTTTAACGTTAGAAGTCCCCTCAGTGAAAACAAAAGGTTAAAGAGGACGCGTTTCTATTCCATTCCCTGCCCTGCTGCTTTTGTGTGTGTGTGTGTACAGTGTAATCAATTCAATTGCATGCTGGATGGAGTGGAGAAACAGCAATCATTCCTGTCTTCATGCCCTATGTCTCAGATTGCACATTCTCTTGCCTCCTCCGCCAATCATTCCCCTCTCTTCCCTTTTTCAAATCTCTTTAATAATAACAGCATGCAACAGTGAAAGCAGGCTAGTCTTTTCCAACCTATATGTATGCTACAACTTTTTTTTTTTTTTTTTTTTTAAACGTTGTCCCTAGATACAATCGAATTGGACTTGGTCAAATTAATCTTATTTCACGGTTTCATCTCTTTTGTAATCTACGGAGTATAATTTAAGCATACACTGAGAATGTAATTTTATTTTAATTTGAAAATAATGTTTAGAGTCCTAAGATATTCTTCTATCTAACTTTACATTTAACAAATTATTTTTTAGTGTTTGAAAGTATACTTAATAAGCTCTTGAGATGGGAATATATTTATATAGTGATGCATGCATGGTTGACAAATATGTTTTTAGAGACAATCCTTACCTCTTGGATAGCAACTATTTAATGAACCATCATCGTTTTCTATGACATATTATTACTCCATTTAATTTTTAGGATCTATTTATGGTCTTTGTGATTTAAATTGGTTACCTATAACCAAGGTTGCAAAAATCGCTAGGCGGTTGGGGACCGCCTAGGGTGCCTAGAGCGCCTAGGCGGGCGCCTAGAGCGATTAATCGGCGCCTAGAGCGCCTAGGCGGGCGCCTAAGGCGCCTAGGTGGCCGACCGCTTAGCGCCTAGGCGCCGATTAATCGCCGCCTAGGCACGATTTTTGCAACATTGCCTATAGCAAGTGGCAGCCTATGTTTGTTTTGGTCCTTGGTGGGAGTCATAAGATAAACTCCATCCACTTTGAGGGGTAATTTAGGTTTTATGATAAATCAAACATTACTCCATTTAATTACCCACACTATAGTGAAAGTATCTCTCAATTTGAGAAAACAAATACACCCACCAAACGTTTTTGTTTCTTTCTGGTTCTTAAAAATAAATTTAAAAAATAAAAGCAAAAGAGATAAAGAACAAGTGGGCTCAAAGGGAAAAAGGGGCAATGTGTCCTTTTAGAGAGCTAAACCAAAATCCATATAAAGAACGGAATAAGATAAGGTTTTGTATAAATTAAGAAATTTAATTTATTGATTGAAAAATCAAGTAAGGTGAATCATAATTTTTGAATGTTACTGACTCTATTACAATGTAATATCTTCATAACTACTTTCTCAACTTACTGAAACACAAAGAATTTACAGAGGCTCGAAATCACAACCACTCATATGAGAGTCTAAACAGGATGTCATTAGATGACAAGATCTTGGAGATTGTAGACTCTGATATAATATAATATTTGATACTTTTTTAAAAACCTGTTTTTTTTTTTCCTTTTTTTTTCACTAACTAAAGAAAACGACAGTCTACACTCTATTTTTAAAACTGAATCAGACTTCCCGCTCGTCATGCTTAAACCAATGGAACGTTTGTTGTTGTCTCTTATCCTCTTCTTCTTTTGCTGGTGCTCCACCGCCACCTTCGCCGCCGCGGCAAATGACACCGCCGTCCTTGCCCTCTTCCGCTCCCAAACCGACCCCCACGCCACTCTCCTCTCCAACTGGACACTTACATTCAACGCCACCGCCTGCTCCGCCAATTGGGTCGGCGTAAACTGCACCAACGGCCGCGTCACCGCCCTGTCCCTCCCTTCCCTCAACCTCCGCGGCCCCATTGACGCCCTCGCTTCCCTCGACCAGCTCCGCCTCCTCGACCTCCGTGATAACCGCCTCAACGGTTCTCTCGCTCCCATCACCCACTGTCTCAACCTCAAGCTCATTTACCTCTCCGGAAATGACTTTTCCGGTGAAATACCGGCGGAAATCTCCTCTCTCCGCCGCCTCCTCCGCCTCGACCTCTCCAACAACAACCTTAAAGGCTCAATCCCGGCGAAAATCTCGAACATTTCACGCCTTCTCACTCTACGGTTACAGAACAATGAACTCTCCGGAATTATCCCGGAATCCTTGAATTCTCTCCAGCAACTCACGGAATTGAATTTATCTAACAATGAGCTGTACGGGATGCTTCCTCGGAGTTTATACAAACGCTTCGGCGGGAATAGCTTCGCCGGAAACGAAGGGCTGTGTGGGTCCCCTCAGCTGCGGTGTTCACACGCCGGACGGCCGTTAAATTCCTCGTCTTCTCAGACGGTTCCGTCGAATCCAAGCTCGTTACCGTCAACTCCCACGGCGGCGATCGAGGATCCGGGGAAGAAGCACCGGAAAGGGTTGGGTAGGGGAGCGATTGTAGCCATTGTGGTGGCGAATTCCGTGGCGCTTCTGGTAATCGCGTCGTTCGTGGTGGCGTTCTACTGCGGAAAGTACTCTCGCGAGACGTATTCTGTCTCCGGGAGCGAGAGCGGCAAGCGGAGGAGCAGCTACTCAAGCGAGAAGAGAGTTTACGCCAACAATGGCGGCGGCGCCGCCGACAGCGACGGCACCACTGCCACCGATCGCAGCAGGCTCGTGTTCTTCGACCGGAGGAAGCAATTCGAGCTTGAGGAACTGCTCCGAGCATCGGCGGAGATGCTGGGCAAGGGCAGCTTGGGAACCGTCTACAAGGCGGCTCTCGACGACGGCCGGACGGTGGCCGTGAAAAGGCTGAAAGACGCAAATCCTTGTGCCAGGAAAGAGTTTGAGCAGTACATGGATGTGATTGGGAGGCTTAAACATCCCAACATTGTAAAGCTCAGAGCTTACTATTATGCCAAGGAAGAAAAACTTCTTGTCTATGATTATCTACCAAATGGAAGCTTACACTCCCTTCTTCATGGTAAAATTTTCACAATTTAATGCATTTTCTTCTAGTACTATGTTTTGGTCATAACAATTGAAGAATGTTCACAATTTGTTTTTGGGTGACAGATTGTCCGTAAAAATCACAGTGTGAGAGTTTCACCCTCTTGTAGGAGTGCCTCTTTTTTGACACTGGTCTTCTCACCTAAAGTGTTGTTATTACCGCTCTACAATACTGTTGAGCGGGGGTATAAGACTTTTAAGGCAAGAATTTTGCCTTTTGTGGGCAAGAATGTGTTCTTGAACTCATAACCTTTTTGATTGTTTGATTTGTCTTGATATTGAATTGAAGAATGTGTTCTTTCACCTACACGGGTAGTTCAGTTTATTTCTGGGTGACAGACTGTGGGTAAGGACAGTAGTGTGAGAGCTTCACCCTCTTGTAGGGGTGACTCTTTGTGGGTACGGGTCTTCTCACCTAATGTGTTGTTATTTACCCCTCTACAATACTGTTTGCAATGAGAGTTTTAGAGCGAGAATTTTGCCTTTTGTGGCCAAGAATGTGTTCTTTGAACCCATAACCTTTTTTATTGTTTCATCTGTCTTTGGTATTGAATTGAAGAATGTATTCTATCTGAACTGTATATTTATATGCTCCACAATAACTGTATGGTTTTGTTGATGTTACAGCCAATAGAGGGCCGGGGAGAATTCCATTGGATTGGACAACAAGAATTGGGTTGGTGTTGGGGGCAGCAAGGGGACTGGCACACATTCATGAAGAATATGAAGAATCAAGAATCCCCCATGGGAATGTGAAGTCATCAAATGTGTTGCTAGACAAGAATGGGGTTGCCTGCATCTCAGATTTCGGGTTGTCGTTGCTTCTGAACCCCGTCCACGCCATAGCCAGATTGGGAGGGTACAAGGCCCCAGAACAGGCAGAAATCAAGAGGCTATCACAGAAAGCAGATGTGTACAGCTTCGGGGTTCTGCTGCTGGAAGTGCTGACAGGGAGGGCTCCTTCTCAGTACCCTTCTCCGACACGGCCAAGGGTGGCGGCAGAGGAGGAGGAGATGGCGGTGGATCTGCCGAAATGGGTGAGATCAGTGGTGAGGGATGAGTGGACAGCTGAGGTGTTTGATCAAGAACTGCTGAGGTACAAGAACATTGAGGAAGAACTGGTGTCAATGCTGCATATTGCATTGGCTTGTGTGGTTCAGCAGCCTGAGAAAAGGCCTGCCATGGCTGAAGTTGCTAAGCTCATAGAGGAGATCAGGGTGGTGCAATCTCCTTTGGGCGAAGACTATGACGAATCGCGCAATTCGATCTCGCCATCTCTTGCCACCACCGAGGATGGAATGTAATGGCATATATGATATGATTTCCGGTTTCCACTTAGGTCTGCAATAACATGTTGCCATGTAATATTTGTTTGCTTCATTTGTGTAATTCCTTTGTTGTGCTGCATTTGGGAAGATGAGCTGATCTAGCCTAGATAGCAGGTGGTCAAGAAACCAGATCCCATGATTTCAATGTAATTCTTTGCATTCTAAATTCTACTCCGGATCCTTTTTCTTGGATTCTTGGTTTGAGCATGTCAGTTATGGGCACTAGGCTGATTTATCTCCTTGTGATTCAGCTAGAGTCACAAAAATAGAGTTTATCATCACCTAAGAGAGATAGATTGCAATAAAAAGACCGTGTAACAAACTCAGTAAAAAAAGTACTGAAAATAATCGAACTCATAATTTTTAGTACGAGAATCATATTTCAATCAATTGACCCAAAAATCCTGAAATCAGTGACTGAAAAATACCTAAAGGTAAAATGCCCAGAATGAAAGGCCATTAACTGATTAACAAAAGACAAACGAGTCAAAAGTTAAATGCTGCATCTATGCTGGTCAAAAAGGGTTATGAGGTAAATGCTTTTCCCCATTGCCGACTACTTTAGCTATATAAGAATGGTACAAGGCAAAAGGGTTTGTGGAAAGGAAAATAAAAAGATGTACTCCACAATTTTTTTTATTCTCCATTATCTGTTTTCAAGTTGAAAAAATATGTAAGTAAACGCATTTTTTATACTCCTCTGGAAGAAAAATGAGAAATTTCTCCCATAAATAAACCCATTTTAGTTTCTCTCATCTAGTACACAAATTTGTAAATTGTGATCAATGTTGAGACCTCATCACTATTACAGATCTGGGACAGTTTAGAAGTAATCTAAGTTAACTCGACAGACTACTCTCAAATTGTTGCCTACATGACATAACCATCGTTTTAAAGTACCTATTATACAATACAGAGCTGCACCTTCTCCTTGTGTGACTGAGCCTTCAACTAACCTGGAATCTGGATGGTGACGTGATTATAGGTTCCTCTGTTCTAATAGTTGGGAACGTAATCTACTGCGTTATCAAATACTACTAGCTAACCCTTCCTGTTTGATCAATCAGAGTTCCAACTGGCTCTCCGGTTAATGCCCTTGATATGTTCCCGTGATCGTGAAGATTGAAAATGACCACTGCGAGAAAATGGAATAAATGGGTTTCAGGAAATGTTTCTTCCCGAATGATTAGTGGGTTAAACGCTTCCACTGAGTGAGCAAGGCTCAGTTCTCTTATCTAGTTCAATGAACTATGATGATTATTGGTATAGAAAAACACGGATGTAGAAGTTGCAGTGAAAGTGAGGAGGAAAAGTACCAACCTGGAATTCCATTCTCCTCGCAGCAATTAACAGCCATCATGTCGATTGGAGCAGCCCCTTTGGAAGCAAGATCCCGGTAGGAAATGTGCTCAGCTGCTAAGTTGTTGCTTCTTGAGTCACAAACGTACACACCTTCTACATTTGTGCCTTTAAGCATGGCCTCGGCGTGAACTGGGGGAAAGGAAACGATGTCAAGACCATCTCATGACAGGGAAATAGATTTCTTAAGGATTTTTACTCTAAATTTTGATAGAAATATAGAATAATCAATAATGGTCAGTGTCATACTCTCAGAAGCTCTAAGAGCTGCGGCTGTATCAGTAGTGAAGAGTGAAATTCCTGTGCCAGCTCCAATACCACCAAAAATCACAACTCTTCCCTTTTCGAGATGGCGGATTGCACGTTGCCTATTGTATGGCTCGGCAACCTCTGGCATAGAAAATGCACTTTGCAAACGAGTCTGCACACCCAATTTTTCCAGTGCTGACTGGAGCAGCATGGAATTCATCAATGTTGCCATCATCCTATGAATTACCAGGAAATCGAGGAAACAATCAGTTCAAAACTAATGACAAGTACCATTATTGAGCGTGGATAAAAGGAATTATAACACCATTCCATCACCAAAGTTAGAGGGTTCTGGTAAAGATGGGTGACGAAGTATAGTGAGGCATTGATGCACAGTGAACAAATCTGTAAATCTTTTTTTTATTGAAACAAAATTGATAAATCTTTATCTTATCAGCATCACAATTATTAATTGCAAGAGGATATGGATCATAAAACATATGTGCCACTCCTGAATCATATCCACAATGAAGCAGCAAGTAATCAGGAACAGAAAGGTCTCAAGTTCAAGTTCACTTTTTCAACGAGACTGAGCTTCACCTATTCAAATACAGGATAAATCCAACAATGTATGAAAATTACCCAATTTGATAGGCAGTGCATCGATCTAAACCAGTTGATGTAACCCATGAATCACCACAAAAGAAATTACGGCCTCCAACAACTACTGCCACCTAGAGTAACAATCAACATACATATAACAAAAAAATTATTAAAATGCAGAAACTCATTTAGAAACAACAGAAGTAGAAGAGAAGCTTCTTCAATTATACCTCTACACCAACACGGCAAGCAATAGAAATTTCTCTAGCAATCAGCATAGCCACCTATCACAATAAAAATCAAATCTTCCAGTTCACAGATGATATCTTGACAGGAAATTATTTTCCCATTCATCATTGCAAAGGCAAAATGAAAGATTCCACAATAATAGCATAGTCTTAAGCCAGAAAAGTATAGTGGTAGGGAAACACATAAAATGATGGGCTCTTTTTCAATTGATAGTTAGAAGGCCAAAATGCACAATTTGGTAGTTGTAAATTTCGTGCCAGATCTTTCCGAGTTCACACATTATCCAGAAATGTAACTGATTTTCTCATCTCTTCCTGAGGATGGCATATAACTGGAAAAACAGTGACTCTTTTTGTAAACAAAATCTAATAAATTCTTAAACATTTTATCTGATAGACCAAGGAAACTACATATGTACCTTTGGATCAATATTATTCTGTGTGGTTCCAGCAAGAGCAGCACCACTAATCTTAAAAACAACTCTTCTCCACCTTGGACCACCAGAAGATTTTAACTTCATATTGTTAATCTGACCTCCGGGACCAGCAATTGGTGTTCCAAATCTGAAAAAATGATTTTTTTTTCTTTAATGAAACTGATGATCCATAGACAAAAATGAGAGAAGTGTGTAGACCCAAACTCCCACTTGAAAAGGACATCAGAAATTGGGAGACAATAATAAGTGAAGCCAAAAGTTTTGTGCTTGGTAACTCTAGAGATCAGTCCCTCCATCAAGAATCAAGATCAATTGTAGAGCCAAAAGTATAGAATTATAGATAATTTATGCTCATACAAATATCAGTGTCAAATGAATTGGGAAACTTCAAGAGAGCCACAAGTCCTAATAGTCCCTTATTATTCAGTTTGCATAGATAAAAGTAAAAAAGCTAATGTAATAACAGAGTAACAGAGACGTATTAAAGCAAATGAAGGATGTAAATATGCAATACCTCTTAGTCGGTCGAGCCAAGTTGCCGGATTTTTCCTCCTCAACTACAGCCTTCGTCAACAAGGAGTTTCCGACTATCTGTTCCATTTGCTTGAACCACGGCCAGTGGCTCGCTGAAATGCCGCCATTGCTCATTCGATGCCTCTCCAGCTTATACCTCTTCTTCAAATTATCCACCTTGTTTTTGCACTGCTCCACACTCTTTGTTTGTTTCTCGCACCTGTCGCTCACCATCGCCGCCACCTCCTCCCAGTCCCTCCCTCTCAAATTGCCTCTGTTGAGCTGCATAAACTTCTCCGTATACGCCTCCAGTAGGCACGCGATGGCCGTGTCACTCCATTCCTCCCGGTCCTTCCTATACTCTCCACTTCCGCCGCCGCTGGAGGCGACAGATGAGTTGAGTTTTGACTTTTTGTATGAATACGGAGTTCCGTTTTCACTGATATCATCTTGCTCCGCACGCTTACCGTTCCCTGCACTAGCTCGAGATCTACTAGGATCGGGCTCGGTTTCGTAAGGATTGGAATCATTCTCGTATGGATTCATCCCGACCACGTGATACGACGAGGAATTGCTATCTTTCGGATCCGGTTGAGAGCAGAAAGCTCCTCCATCGCTGTAACCTTCGCCCTCAGGAGACACGACATCGTCCTCGCCGGAAATGTCCTTGGGACTACTGCAGTGTATAGGATGCGCGTGGATTTGGGAGGCCTTGAAGCGGTGAGATGAGAAGGCTTGGTGGTGGTGGTGATGGTGGAAATTGGGGTTAGCGTTGGGTGTAGTGGCGGTGGGAGTGGCGTTATCGTCACCGAGAAGAGGGAAATCGTCGTCACAGGATGCCATGAGAGGGCGGAGAAACGTTAGTGTTAGGGTTCTCAGAGACGGAACGTTTGAGGGTCACCGTTACGGTAACACGATGCCGTGAATTTGGACGATGGAGGTGGAACCGTTAGAAGAAGCAGTGTAGTCACGGGCCTTTACGTTACTCACTTATTTGCTTGAAAGGACCTCTTTTTTTACATAAATTTCACGTCTCCCCATTTTCTTTTTCTCCCCTAAACTTACTTTCTACCTATCATATTTTGCTCCCCAAACTTTTTCCATTACATGGAAAAATCACTACTTACTATCTACAAATCACTTTTGAGTTGAAGTTGTAGATTATGGTAGGAGATTTAGACTTGAATTTAATTGCGTCATTCTCCATTAAATGCATAAATAAATAAAAAAGTTTTATTGGACCTTTACAACATATATTTACCGTAGGAAAATATAACTTATAAGTTATTGTGAGAACATTTTTATTCAAGTTGATCGAACATTTGATTTGATAGTTACAAAATTCTAAAATTAATTATTAATGAGAGTTGTTTTTTTGTTTTTTTTTTTAGTTTAAATCAATTAGCTATCAGCAACTTAAGTTGGTCTTTTTAGTTTGAGCTAATCAGTTATAGACAACTTATGTTGGTTCACTCATTGTGATCATTTGCTGTCTATATTCACAAAACAATTCAATGACTTCACCCATGGAGTATATTCAAATAGTGGTTACAAACTTTGTGACACTAAAGCTGAAATCAATTTATCTTGACATATATCTTTAGGGATGTTGACAAGTTGTATAATATCAAGTTCAAAGATACTTAAACAACATAAATACCTTACATGTTTTTTTTTTTTTAGTGACGTGGAAAATCTCCAAATTTTATTTTCTTTTGAGTGATGAGGAAAACTCGCAATCACATAACAACATCTTCATATATATTTGTAATTAGAGAAAATAGTTAAATACACCCTTAAACTTTATAGTTTATACGGAAAGTCAATTGACACCTGAACTTAATCATGTGCAACAAACGGGTTCAAACCGTTTGATTTATGAACTGCCAACCCGTTCGGTTTCGATTTTTATTATTTATAGCAAATCCGTTTATTTTAGTTATTAACCACATTGGATATTAAATTTCAAGTTTGTTCAAATTGTACCCCAAAAAAAAAAAAATCATATTAAATTAGTTCAACCTTACAACTTAGTGAAGTAAACTTACAAGTTACAAAATACAAATTACTAGGGGTGTGCAAATTTCGGAGAAATTTCGGTTAACCGACCGAACCGACGAAATTCGGTTAACCGTTTTCGAACCGAAATATTTCGGTTCGGTTAATGGTTAAAGGTTTTCACAAAATTCGGTTAACGGTTAATTCGGTTCGAAAGTATCGGTTAACCGAATTAATCGAACGGTTAACCGAATTTTGGAATATATATAATATATAATATACTCCGTATTAAATATTAAATATATAATTACTAAAATCATAAATAGTCAAAATGTCAAATAGAATAAATAATAATATGAATTTATTATGATATGCATTTTATTTTAATTGGAATTCTTATTTTAGGAATAATTTTATGGATTTTAAAATTTAGGGTTAAAAATTTCGGTTAATCGGTTAACCGACCGATTAACCGAAAAAAAGTTCGGTTCGATCAATTCGGTAGAGTAAATTTTGGTTCGGTTAACGGTTAAAGTAAAAAAAAAAATCGGTTAAAACGGTTCGGTTAACCGAATGAACACCCCTACAAATTACATGTTACAATTTAATTGTTAGGCACAATGAAGTGAAGTTAAAACTTAATTATTAGAAATCACTTTTGAGTTGAAGTTGTAATTAATGGTAGGAGATTTAGACTTGAATTTAATTGCATCATTTTTCATTAAATGCATTAAAAAGAAGCTTTATTAAACCTTACAACATATTTACTTAAGGGCATCCCTATTAATAGTTGTTGGAGAGGTTTTTGAGGAGGCTAATAGTATGTTGATGAGAGAAAGTAAGTGAGCCCCTGAAATGAAGGAGTTTGATTTTTGTCAACATGTAGGCCCCACCAACAAAGAAGAAAAGTCATAATACCTTGCGTGAGGCGCAAATCTTGTGCCCAGCCGGAAGCATAAATCTTTATTATTTTTGTTTTTTTTTTAGATTTATTTTTTTCCCTCCCTTCTCATCTTTTATTTCAGAATTACACTTGCAAAAACTACAACTATTGAAAATACAAGGATGTGATTTTTTTTGGAGTTTTTTGTGGGGCCTAATATGATGTGAAAGAAAGAGAATTGAGTAGAGATAATTTTAAGTCCACTGCAAAACATGGTTTTTTGTGTTGTTCATTAAAATATAAAAAATTCTAAAATTCATAAAAGTTCAAATCTATAACCATTCATTTAGAACAATAATCAATATGTCATCACACTACATGATAGTTGACATATTTGAAATTAGTATATTTCACCATAAAACAATTAAATGAAGTTACATCAACCCCATCAATTTATGTGAATCTAACGTTTTCCTCCTCTAAATTATGTAGTGCTTCTGATAATCTGGCCACTACTTTCGTGGTCCACATGAACAGAACTGGCTGAAACTGAAAGCATATTCCACAAAACTATAAATTACTATTAACAACAAAAATGAAAATTTACGCAAGGCACAACTAAAAAAAAGCATACTAAGCTCGGTCTACTTGTTTCTACAGTTTCTCTCTTTTTCAAGCTCTCATCCTCTCTTGCAGTTAGCCCACTGGTTTTCAGCAAAGATGCATTCGAATCACTTGCTACTCGAGGAACCCATCAGGATGGCCTCCATCTTGGAGCCATCCAAAGCTGTAAGTCGCAGATAGTTGATATTTACTCACAATCTACCTGATTTAACAAGTCTTTTTTCTGCTTTGATGATTTATTTGGTCTTCGTTTCTGGGTATTTTCCTGATTGTCATATGGTAATTGCTTCAGAGTTTTTTCCCAGCATTGACGAAGATCGTGGGGACGTTGGGTCCCAAGTCTCGATCTGTGGAGGTCATCTCCGGCTGCCTTAACGCTGGGATGTCTGGTAATTTAAGGATTCCAGTTCGTTTGTTGGTGTGCTTGTACTTATCACTTATCAGTGCTTCAAAAAAAGTGATTTTTAATGTTTTATGGTTTTGTTGACCGATCGGTAGTGGCAAGATTCGATTTTTCTTGGGGAGACCCCAATTATCACCAGGAGACTTTGGAGAATTTGAAGACCGCTATAAAGAGCACTAAGAAGCTCTGTGCTGTATGTATTTATTCCTTGCTCATTCATCTTGTGAATAAAATAGGCTAGCATAAATAAATTCTTTACCTATCTGGTGACACTTAGCCATTTGAAAACCATCATTTTTGGGTCCAAAATGAAAGAATAACCTATCAATAAGTTTCTTCAGAGTGGTGTAAGTTTTATCTAATTCAGAGTATAGTGTTGGCTATAGAAGCAGCTAGCAGCTGAGACCTCTTACATGTGTGATTAACTGCAGACATGATTTATTTAAACGCTTTTATGTTAGGAGTATTTCTGTGCACTACATAGGCTGGGCTAGGTTACTCTTCAGTGTGCTGACAAAAGGAATTATAATGTGCTTTTGGTGATATTTTCAGGTTATGTTGGATACTGTTGGCCCTGAGTTGCAGGTTGTTAACAAAAACAAGACCGCTATTTCACTGAAGGCAGATGCTGCTGTAACTTTGACACCTGATAAGGGTCAAGAAGCATCTTCGGAAGTGTTGCCAATCAATTTCGCTGGCTTGGCTAAGGTTCGTTCCATTTCACAGTCCTCTTTATTATTCTAAATTTATGTTTGTTACTTTATAGGTGTTGGTCAACATATTTTTTGCTTCTTCTAAACTAGACCTTTTTTTTGCAGGCTGTGAAGAAGGGAGACACCATTTTTATTGGTCGGTACCTCTTCACAGGAAGTGAGGCTACTTCCGTTTGGCTAGAGGTATCGAGAGAAGTTCCTACTCTGATTCATTCCTTTTTCTCATGGCATGTCATTTGGGGGTGCCAGAGTTTTTTTTTTGGTCAGGCCATGAGGTGTCCTGAGCAGGCCCTAACTATAGGAGGCACCTTTAAGCCCGTACCGTACTCGGACTAATCCCCATTCGCACCGGGTCGGCCCAATTAAGGGGCAAAGTGCTGGCCAGATTGGTTTTTCCATACGAGAGGGGTTCGAACTCCCGACCTCTCTTAAGGGATGAGAGTGCACGACCACTCACGCCAACCAAGCTGGTTGGGGGTGCCAGAGTTTTGATAGTGGTTGAGTGGATTTCATATTACTGCTCTTTCTAGTGTTGGGGGTCTAACTATTACTTTTGAGGTCAACTTCATTGAAGAAATTTAGTGATCTATCTTCTGTATCATAGTGCTAGGTAAGATTGGTTTTGTGAATTTAAGCCTCTAATGGGTTGTGCAGGTAGATGAAGTGCAGGGCGAAGATGTGGTTTGCATAATAAAGAACACTGCAACTTTGGCTGGGTCATTGTTCACTCTACATGCTTCTCAAATTCATATAGATTTGCCTACTCTCACTGATAAAGATAAAGAGGTATTAATTAGAACTTCTTAGCACTGCAAACAACTTTGCCTGTCCATTAAAATACTTTTAGTTCCTTTCTCACGTTTATTCCTTTTTTCTGCAATGCATTTTCATTAATAATTGGCCGTATGGGCCATATTAACTTTGTTTTAGGCTATAAGCACATGGGGAGCGGAAAACAAAATTGACTTCCTTTCACTATCATATACAAGGCATGCTGAAGATATTCGTGAAGTAAGCTTAATATTTTGTTATATCCTTTTAGTTTGATTCATTAATCCATATTTTGAGCTCTTCGGATGCCCTAGACAATTTTATTAGTTAGTGTAGATGGTTCATTATTCATTACCAATTTGGCTCATGTTGGGTTTGTGCTTTCATTCAGGCTCGTGATTTTCTGTCTAAGCTGGGTGACCTAAGTCAGACGCAAATATTTGCTAAAATTGATAATGTAGAGGTAAGTTTTGGATGTTAGGATTTACTGCGAGGTTGCTGTTGCTCTCACGTTAGGTTGGTGCCATTTTAATAACGGGCAATATTGCTAGGATTTAACAGTTTGTTCTTTCTATATCCACAGGGATTAAATCATTTTGATGAGATTCTTCAAGTGGCTGATGGTATCATTCTTTCTCGCGGAAATCTTGGCATAGATCTTCCACCCGAGAAGGTTAACACAAGAACATCTTTTCTTGGATACTTCATAGTTATGAAGTATGGTTCCCCGAGAGTATCTTGCTTATTAGAAATGTGCGGTGGGGATTGCAGGTGTTTTTGTTCCAGAAGGCTGCTGTTCATAAGTGCAATATGGTTGGAAAGCCTGCTGTAATAACACGTGTTGTTGATAGTATGACTGACAACCTTAGACCTACTCGTGCCGAGGCTACTGATGTTGCTAATGCCGTCTTGGATGGTTGGTCTTGCTACTTATTCAATAACTTTAATATTTTTTTTTGGTCAGACCATGAGGTGTCCTGAGCAGGCCCTAACTGTAGGAGGCACATTTAAGCCCGTATCATACTCAGACTAATCCCCATTCGCACCGGGCCGGCCCAGTTAAGGGGCAAAGTGATGGTCATATTGGTTTTTCCATACGAGAGGGGGTTCGAACTCCCGATCTCTCTTAAGGGATGATGATAGTGCACGACCACTCACGCCAATCAAGCTGGTTTCGATAACTTTTATATTGCTCATTTAGAAGAACATAATAATTCTAAAGCTTTATGTTTATTTTCATCTCATTAGTTACCATTGTGACATCTTGCAGGAACGGATGCAATTCTTCTTGGTGCTGAGACTTTGCGCGGGTTGTACCCTATTGAGTGTATTTCTATTGTAGGCAAAATTTGCTCCGAGGTAGGTTAAGAACACTTTAGTTTCTGTCCTCACTTTTTGGTCTCGACTAGGTTGGAATGCTGTAGAGAACTAACCTTTATGATTGTTTTTGCATAAAGACTTGGCTTAGGTTTGAATCCTCGGCATTGTGTCTTTAAACACACACACACACACATATATGGAGTAATTACGTTGTATTTCTTATCCAAAAAGCGTAAAAGTAATTTGTGTAAACTCATAGTTGAGCTTTTCTGTTAAATAGTAAGCATCTACTCCAAATATCTATGCAGGCAGAGAAGGTCTTTAACCAAGATCTCTACTTTAAGAAGACTGTCAAATTTGTAGGGGAGCCAATGACGCACTTGGAATCAATCGCTTCATCTGCGGTATTTCAACTGTTTCATCTTGCTCTTCAAAGGGGGGAAAAAACGGTTTTTTTTTTTTACCCGCAAAGAAATGAAATGTTTCTATTTCCTACTTAACTCTTTAGGTGCGTGCGGCTATCAAAGTGAAAGCTTCTGTTATTATTTGCTTTACTTCGTCTGGAAGGGCTGCAAGGTACTTTATTAGTTAGTTGTTTTACTTTTTCTGGTTTTAACTTTTAAGTTGCAATGAGGTGTTTAGAAGTCTCTTATAGTGCCGTTTTATTTGTGGTCGACGTAAGATTTTCTTTTTGCTCATTTGAGTGCAGATTAATAGCAAAATATAGGCCAACAATGCCTGTAATATCAGTTGTCATTCCTCGGCTCAAGACAAATCAACTAAAGTGGAGTTTTACCGGTGCATTTGAGGTATGCCATTAATTGATGTTTTTGACATCTTTTCCGCTTCCCTTTTCTACCCGTTTGAATTAAGCGGATAAATAATTAATCACTAAGCAAATTGATAATTTTCTATTAGTAATTGCAGCAATTAACCACGTGAGGCTACAAAGAAAAAGACATCTCCTAATGATCCTAGATTGTCACCGTGTTTATTTGGCAGATACCCAACTTCCTAACGGTGTTTAATAAACTAACCATTTTCTCCAACGACCCCGTTTACACTAATTTTATAAACTCCCAATACAATCAACATGGACTTCAAACCCGAGACCTTATGTTTCGTGCTTCAACATTTACTAAATCAGCTAAAAGCCTTACATTTTTTGCACGTTTGAGCTGTTAGATGTATTTATTAGTCTTCTTCTTCTTCGTGGTCAGGCAAGGCAGTCCCTTATTGTGCGTGGACTTTTCCCCATGCTTGCTGATCCCCGGCATTCTGTAAGTTTCTCATTTCCCTTGAGATTGAATTTGCCTTTCGTTGGCCAATTGAAATTTGGAGCTTAAAACTCATATATTACTTGATACTCGTTTCTTTTGCTCTAAGAGTTGTTGAAACCTTAATATTAGGGAAAATGACATATTTGGTTCCTGAGATATACCTTAGGTATAGACTCACCCCCGTTATTGTCGTGCCTATTTTTGGTCATTTAGTTAATCTCAAAGTGACAAATTTAGTCTTTTTTTTGCTAATATTTCATTAGATTTGGATTGAAATTCATTATAGAAGTATATCCAGGTATAACTCAAAGACCAAATATGTCATTTTCCCTTAATATTAACTACCCCATAAAACACGAGTTTGGTGTGTTTAGTTTGCATGAACCTCGTTTCCCAGGCTCTCTTGAGAAGGTTTGGGTTCGAGTCATTGAATGTAACACTGTTTCCCAGGCTCTCTTGAGAAGGTTTGGGTTCGAGTCATTGAATGTAACACTATTCTTCTCTCGCCCTTTGCTATTCAGTCTTATCCGACTCTCATGTGTGATGAATTTTCAGGCCGAGTCTACCAATGCCACCAACGAGTCAATCCTGAAAGTTGCACTTGATCATGGCAAGGCCTCAGGGGTTGTGAAATCACACGACCGAGTTGTGGTGTGCCAGAAAGTTGGCGACGCATCTGTGGTCAAGATTATCGAGCTCGAAGAATAAAGACTTGTATCTCCCTGCTGCATTTGTTTTGAGTTGCCACACCATCACTATTTTGTTAGGATAACGTTGTACTGGTTAACATGTTGACTAATTAATAAAAACCGATTCTGGGCTTCATGGTTCATTTCATTCAGAGACAAGAATCAGAGCTCCCAGAATGAATAAGCAGAGACTATGTTGGTTTCTGAGCTTTGGTAAAACAGAGATGTAAATGAAATTATTGTATGATGTTACAGAAACAAGACAGTTGATGATCCTATGTTATGTGTTTTTTTTACATGGGTTCTATCCTGTAACAGAGTGGGATGGGTCAGTGGTTCTTTGGTGATGAAGATGATCAAGAAGCTCTAACTCTTTCTGCTGAAGCAGAATGACCATTCTGTCATTCTCCAATCGCTTCCGTTCATTTGTGAGCTTCTCCTTCTCCATCTCCCTCTCCTTTTTGCTGCTGTATTTCTCCCATTTAAGCCGCTGCTTCGCGAGCTCCAGTTTCTGGGAATCGAATCCGATTTGCTGTTCTTCAAGCTGCATCATTCTTGCTCTTATCCAGTGCCGCTTTTCCAGGGGGCTTCGGGTGCCGTCTTGGCATAGATTTGTTAGTTCTGTGCTTAGTTGCTGAAGCATTGGCGAAAATGATCCCGTTTTTTTCTGTCGCTTTCTTGATCCTTGTTCTTCTTCCTCCTCCACGCCGTGATCGTCATCTTCTTCGTCAGAGTCGGATTCTTCTTGGTCGCTTTCGCAGCCTTCTTCCGGGGCTTTAACGGCTAAATTAGACTCGATTCTTGCACTCTCGTTGGAATGCAAGCAGTTTTGTTGAGGAGCAGGCGGCTCCGAGGAACCGTCTGCGGCGGTTCCGGCGGTGGCGCCGCCGTGGCTGCAGCTGTTGTGATAGGCGCACATTTCTCGGAAGAATAAGTGCTTGGAATTTAGTAATTTCTTGACTTCCTCCTTCATCTTAGGCGATAAATCCATGGATTCAAGCAAGCTTTGATTCTCCACGACGCGACAGGCAGTCCCTTTTCCGAGAATATCATTCACCCTTTTGTATCGCTTGTTCAAATCGTTGAATTTATCCTCGCATTGCTGGGGGGAAACGGAGAATCCTCGCTCCATCATCGCCCGGGAAACCGATTTCCATTTCCCTTTCTTCTGCAAAACGCCGCCGCCATGGCCGCCCTTCTTCTCGTTAGCCCCGCCGTCAGGCACGCCTTCATCCCCAATATAATACACCACCATGATCAGCAGCTTCACCATATCATCCGTCCATTTCATCCTCTGCCATGGCGACATCTTCCTCTTCCCATCTTCAGCACTGCTCTGATCGGCAGTGGGCCCCCCGGCAGGCTCATCTTCATCACTCAGAGTTAACCCCTGAGCTTTCGGCTTACCGCCATAGCCATAAACTCCTGGTTTTGCAGCAGGTTGACTCTGGTGATGGTGGTGGTGGTCAAACGCCACCATGGACTGCTGCTGTTGCTGAATGTGGTTAGGGTTTTGATGGTGGAGTGACATTTCTAGCCCAAGCATCCCAGATCCCATGCTTGAATACATCCCACCAGACTCCATAAAAAGATCAAATCTTGACGACGACCCACCACTTTTACACAGAAAGAAGCTATCTTTTTGAGGAGCTGAGATGATAAAAATGCAGAAATTTTTTTGGGTCGAGCTAAAATGGCATAAGTTTTGCTGTGTATTTGGATGGATGGATGGATTGTAGTTTTCAAGAATGGGATTGCCAGGGATAGATAAAGAGGCATTTAATGGAGGAATAGTAAGACATGTGTAGCTGGTTTTGAGGTTTGGAGGTTTTGGTTTTGGAGTGTGAAGGTTGAAACCACTGCCCATGGTTTTTATTCCCTTCGAGATATAGCCGGAGGAGAGAGATAGATAGATATAGAGAGAGAGAGACCACAGGATTCTCCAAAACTGTCTGTCACCTTTTAAACCTTTGTTTGATGTTGTTTTTGACCTAACTTTTATAGTATAAGTTTGGGGTGGATTGGATCTTGGCCGTTGAATGAGGGGAGGTGGCAGTGAGATAAGCGGTGGAAGGTGAAGATGCAGTTTTGTGAAGAGGACTCCCTTTGATGACACGATGTCATCTTATCTGTGAAAAGTGGGGTTTGTGGGGCCCTACGGGAGTGAGCTGTGGGGCCGGCAGGTCGGGGGGGAGGGAGATATTTTGGGGGCTGCGGGCTTGGGTTCAGTGTAAATGGGCTTACAGTGAAATTGTTGGGCTTTCATTTGTATCGTGAGGAATGGGCTCAGCCTGGCCCATTTAGCTTTAGTAATTAGTATTGCGATTTGCGAACCGCCGGACCCTAACTTATTGCGATTTGTAAATCTGCGTCGTCCGGTCGTCCCTAACTCCTCGCCGGTCGCCGGTCGCCGGTTGCGACCTCTGCCTTAGCGAAACAGCGACGCTGCACTCCACCAATGAAGCGTCTTAGGCAACCAGTCCAACCACAGGTAATTTATTAATTTGGTATTTTAACTCTTTAATTCTTTCAAATTTATTACATGTTTTATACTTCTAATCATGCATAATTTTTATATAATATCCAAGAGTTTGAGATGAAGTGGGAGTCTAATTTGAGATGAAGTGAGAGTTTAGTTTGAGATGAAGTGGGAGTCTCACATTCTCAGCACTATAAATAAAGGCATTCATCTCATTCCGAATCACCATCCAAAGCTCTAAAGAAGCATTCATCTTGAATTTAATATAATCATTCGAACGGTACTATTTGTGTTTACATTACAGTGGTTTTTTTTTTTCGTGCTTTTCTCCATTATTTGGGGAAATTGAATCATCTAATTGATTCATAAGTTGAAAGTTTCTTGATAATTAAGAATTTCCATGTTAACATGTTTTGGGAAGAGTAGTAATGATATTGCTTTGAACTTCATTGCAGTTTGATAGGTTTCATGGAGACTGGATATGGCATACCAAATAGCCTTCAAGAGAATTTTGAGGATGGCAAAGACATTAAGATGTGTGAGTTTGAGGAGGGAGAATTGGTGAAGATGTTTTCTAAGACTAAATTAGTTTCCAATATAGAATCACAACAAACTAGGTCTGGAACTATTGGAACTGAGACCTTAGTTAATAAAGAGTCTGGCAGGAAGAAGGAGAAGAACAAGGGAAATAAAGGCACCCCATTTCCAAGTCTTAATCATATGAACTGGTTTGTACTGTGCAGTGCATGAAAATAGAATCTTTCTTTCTTTCTTTCAGGAAACTTTAATTTGGGAAATTGGGGGTATGTTTCATATATTTGTAGGATATGAGTGCTGATATTATACTATTCTCTGTTGTAGCTTTGTTACAAATGTGTGTAGACAATTTGGAGAAAGAAAATCTTATTTGATATGGGAGGCTGTAGCATGTCTTGGTCTATCAGCTGTCCGTAATCTTGTCAAAGAGGTAAGCTAGGTTCACATTCTGTTTGAAACTCGTTCTCGTGTATTTTATTTCTTCTTATTAAATGTACTAGCAAGCTTCTTTCATACATGAGCTGGTGCCTAAAAATTTATGAATGGCTAGGCTTGCTTCACTGCTGGAAATTATGGAATTTCTAACTAATTGAACTTTCTTAAATCAAGTCGAAAGCAAAAAAAAGTGGTCGGAACTAGACTTTTCACTTGATTTAAGATCACTTTCAGGTGGTCGGAAATTCCATAATTTCCAGCAGTGCTTGTTATCTATACTTGGAGAATTTAAAATATTAAAGTCCAGATTTTGTCATGTGCAATTCTGTTCAAATAAAAATATAATACCATTTGCAGGCACAAGCAATTCAGGCTTGTGGTGGACAGAAGACTGCTGATGGCCGGTGCTTTAGAACAGGTGGTAGGATATTATGGAACATCATCAAAGCACGTAGGCCAAATGCTTACAAACAGATAATTAAAAGGGGAGTGGAGTTTGAGATGAGTCGCTACAAAGAGTTAATGGAAAGGGAAGGCCATAGGATTTTGAGGTGGGTCACTGTCTTAAGAAATATTGCTTGCTGTCTTCCTTTTTTAGCAATGTCTGCATGGTTTATTGATTTTTTCATTGTTGGGATGGATATGCGTCTGTTTTTCCACATAAAACATCTTATTATCACAAGTATGTATCATACAATTGGAGATAAAAGATTTTTATTGAGTGGTCAATAAGTAGTTTATTGCAATTGGAGATGATGAGTCTTTGTTATCACATAGTACTGAAGTATGTATATTATTTTCTTAATGTTACTGTTCAATTGTTTTGCAGAAGCAGCACAAGAAAGTTCCTAAAACATCTGTAATGGAGCAAGAAGACACATCCCAGAATATCCCTGCAGGCACAGTGACAAATCATATGATAGTTCAATGCTTTAGATAATGGTTCAAGTTGTGCCAACTTTTGAACCACAACAGTTGTTTATAATAGATTACGGATGCCAGTTTCATATGATAGATCTGTTTGAAGAAGAGTGTGCTATAGTTTAATTTTGGACTTATTGTTGAAAGACCTGTCTCTTTACCATCAAACATAATAATAAGTAATGATGTTATAGCTCTTTTATATATATATATACACTAGTTTTTTTAGGTGCTTTGCGCAATTATTTTTAAATAAGTATTAAATTATTTTTAAATAAGTATTTCAAAATATATCAATGTAATATTATATATGAGATATTCATGCATAGGTAAATAAATGTTTTTTAAATTTGTTTGTTAAATTTGTTTATTTAAATCAGTAATTTAAAGTATATAAATGCAAGATAATATATTCATAATTTTGACTTTCACCTTGCAAAATATTAGCCGCCGATGAATAGCTTTCCTATAAAACGATGAATAGCTTTCCTATAAAACGATCCGATACCGTTATTAGATACAAGAATGAGAAATAGTGTGTATAGCTTTCCTATAAAACGATTAGATACAAGAATGAGAAATAGTGAAAGCCAATAATAGCATTACTATTTACTAGACTCTGTGTATGTGTATGTGAAGAGATAGTAGCCTATAATGTGCATTGAGATAACACCTGAATTCTTAAGTAAAAATGATGACATATATAGATTGTTATAAAAGTTACAGCAATATAGATGATGTTATATAGGTTTGATTTCCTAAACTCTCAGATAAAAGCAGCAATAGATTGCAAAATTGAGATATCAAAATAAAATAGGAATGAACAAGCAAAAGCCAGAAGGAAGAATGATTTCCCGGAGAAAAAAGTTCACAACTCCAGATACTGTATAATACTATCTAAAAGCAAGTACATCTAACCATACACAATAATGAGACGGGAATAATTCTACATTAATTTCCAAATTTTAAAAATGAGGAATCAAGAATCAAGAATCAATATGACAAAATAGGTACAAGAAACATGTGATTGATAGATCACAGATCAAGAAACAAGGAGAAGAGTACTAGCTCTACATATGGGGCAAGTCTGGTGAAGTACCAACCAAATAGCAATGCAATCCGAATGAAATTTATGGTTGCATGGGCAGAGAACCGTGGAGATTTCGCCTTTTTGGAAACCAGTGATACAAATAATGCATTCCTTCTCTTTCTCCTCTCCCTTTAAGCTCCCATCCTCGAAGCTTTTAATATTTAACCTTACTTCTGAGACTACTTGTGCTTCCACATTAACGTTGTTGCCGCCTGTGCTCTCTCCCGCCGCAGTTGGAGGTGGCGTGCTGATGGAACACCACCTTACACATGCACACCACAAACAAACTCCTACCATTGTAATGAGAAAATAAAAAAAACTCTCCATGTCTAGCAAAATAGATGTTAGAATATGAAGAAGAAGAAAACAATAATAAAATACTCTACTCATTCTTGTATATATATAGAATAATATTAGTAATAGGATTAGGAAACTAGTGAATAGGAATAGGAAACAAGGGCGAGGAAACTAATAATAGTGAATAGGAATAGGAAACAAGGGCTCTAATAAATAAATAATAATAATGACAGCTTAAATAAAATAAAAATAAAAATAATAATAAGAGAAAAGAGAGAGAAATTATGACCGGTCGGAGAAGCTTCCAGAACAGGAATCGCCGACGACCTCCTGGCTAGGGAAAGGCAGAGCTGGCAGAACTCTACGAGATCGGTTTTCGGTTGAGGGCCCACGTGCATAGCTAATCTGTCAGCGGCAGCCGAGATGCGGAATGAGTTCAAGTACAAAGCATTCGAAGCATTGCCTCCGCCGCCGGCGTTCGCTCTGGCAGTCGCGCCGGGATTACTGACAGTCTGCCCGGCCATTTTACGCCGCTTTTAGTCGCCCTTCTCTCCCCTTCATTCCACCGTATATACGTGAAAATGTGAAATTATGCTTAGACAATTGCCTTTTGATCCCAAAGGGCCTGAGTTGATGGGGCCGGATAAGAACCCACGGCAATCAGACCGGAAAAGAATCCGCCCGCAATAGGACCGGAGCCGAAGGCCGACACCCCGGGAATCGGGTCGGACCGGACTGAGGTTATGGAGTTCTGAGGAATTGGGTGCAGAGGGATGGAGAAGAACTGGGAGCTCTCGAAAGCCGAAGCATATTGCGTTGTGTGGACCACAGATCAAGTGAATTCACTGGATTATGTTTTTTTTTTTTTTTAATTAATGCCTTTTGTAATTTTTAATCACGTTGAATTTTCACTATCTCAATTATTCTTTATATATGTGATGTGATTTATCTATATGTGATTGTGTATGATTTATCTATATAATTCTGTAATATTTAATCACGTTAAATTTTCACTATCTAAAATAAGGGAAGCTCAGCTCGCCACAATTACATAATGCCATGAGTTGCTACAGACAATACAATAAGCTAATTAACATTAATGGCAATATTTGTAATAGCTAGACTACTTCTCAGAGCTTCTTCCTTATCCAAGCAGGATTATCATCCATAATTCTGAAAAAAGCCTTACGTCGGGACTTGTCAGCAAGTTCCCAAGCCAAGAATGCATCTAGATTGCTATGGATGTACTCCAGTGCAGATTGCTGAAATTCTGGGGACTTTTTGAAGTCATCAATCCCAGCTTGTCGAGCAAAAAAGATTTGGGCCTCCAAAGCTTTGATTTTCTCACTCATCTCTTTAGTAGATTCCACCACAACCTCATCAATCTCGGGTTTGGCCTCCATAAGATCATCATCAGTTGGTATGGTTACTACCTCTGGTGGTGCAGCTGCAGCTTCAGCTTCTTTAAGCCCATATAGATTCTCAACTTTCTCCTCACTGGCATAGTAATTACAGGAGCGAGGAACACCGGCTATTTTCTTCGCATGGGTCAAGAGTTCATGCGTTTCTTCCGGCATGGGGAAATGTATAACCCGGGTGGCCCAGACATTAACGAAACATATTAGAGACGCTGGGAGTCGCACTTTGAAAAACCTTTCTTTCCAACCATTGTGGGGGGAGGGAAGGTCCGTCACAAATTTAAGACCACGACGAGAGGAGATGGTGACAAAGCTCTGGTTTTCAGCCCGTGTGCCAGATTCAACATTGAACAAGTAATGGAAGAGAGACTGAGACGGAGGAATTTCGCATTCCTTACAAACATTCAGAAAAACGACTAGAAATTTATACCCATTAGGTGCTAATTGAGCTGGTATAATTTTATGGGTATTCAGAAATTCTGAGATGAACGGGTGTAGAGGAAAGCGAAGGCCGCACTTGATCGAGTCGTAATGCACGCCTACTTCTAAGGAATTGGCATCGACAGAGCAATGATCAGCGATCGAGATTTCAGGATTCACGTTGATAATCTCAACGTTTGGTCCTAAAAGTTGTTTGGCTTTAGAAAGGTGTAAAAGGGAAATTCTTGGCTTTATGGTGTGAGCCACATTAGGGTCTAGGTTATAGTAGCTAGGTTTTGGCAAAGGGAAGGTAGGGCCACACCTACGTTTGGCGTTTTTGGATTGGGCATGTGAAACAGATGATGATGGGGAACCACCTTGGAGTGGTAGTGTTGGGGACGAAGCTGCAAATTGGTTAGGAAGATTTGCATTTGGGGGTGGACACATCCTCACTCAGCTCGCTTAGAGTTAATTTAGCAAATTAAAGATCCAATTCAAGGGTATATATATAAGACCTTCGATGAGATAGTCATCAATAACTCAGACGTTTTTATATTAATGTGTGTGGGGCATGGGAGATCAACAAATTGCCTGAATTATATATTTTCGATCGTCATCCATGACGTTCTTAATTATCTAGCCGTTGGAGATCAGGCAACGGTATGATTTTCTTGGAAATAAAAATGAATTTACCATTACTACTTAATATATATTAAGTCGTTAAACCAACAGTATTATTTTTCATTATTACTTAATATTGCAAGAATTCACCACTACTTAATATTTAAGTATTGAAGCAACAACCATATAATTTTTCAAATAAGAATAACTACCGAAGCAATGGTCAAATTCCACAAGAACAATTTAAACAACCATATAATATATCAACCCTAATTTTGTATTTAGAACAAAAAAAAAAAAAAAAAAGAGGAAAATTAGCACTTTTTTCCCTTGAGTTATATACTTATATTATTTTTTTCCCCTGAATTATTAATGTAAGCACAGGAGCCAGAAGCTTGCTCAAAATGTTTCTTCCGTTGCGTATTATATGGAGCCGTAAAAGAAGAAAATATCTAGGCTAGAGGGAATTATATTGATGGAGGTTAGTCCACAAATTATTGGAGGGTGTTACTTTGTCTTGGTCGAAACAACATTGCCTCTCTGATCTTCACATAGGATAACGTGAGCGAACACCAACATTACCTTATTTATGTCCATGACTTGGCCGCAGTACGTCGTACTCCCTCTCAGATACAATTTTTTACTTTTTTTTTTTCTATCAAACTTTGCACACCACATTTTATTTTATTACCAATAATATAATGACAATTTATTATCACAGGTGATAATATAAAGTTTAAAAATACTTTTGATAATATAATGACAATTATATCAAATCATCAGTTGGGTAAGTCAACATATTGTTTATAAGTATAGAAGGTCGAGTAACGAATATTGCATCGTTACAATTATTAGTACTAGCTATGTATAAACTTCTCATATTGCATCGTTACGATTATTATTTATTATACTTTTTTTTAACCACCTTTTACTTTTATTTCGTTTAGATGACTATGTTATTATTCTTTGGTACTAAATTCCATCTTGAACTAATTAATATAATGTTTTTACCTAGTTAGTTTAGAAATAAAAATTAAAAGTTTTTAATTAAACTTAAAAGGCTTTATAAAGAAATAGTAGGAGCATGTATTTATTGTATTTTAACTTTGAGGTCTAAGATTCAAAACTTGTGCACACTATTATTATTATTATTCCATAATATGTCTATTTTTACCTGCGCGTTGCACAGAAAAGATTTTATATAGTGCAATTGATGAAATGGGTTGTATCGAATATGTTTTTTTATGTTATCTTTGCTTGAATTCGAGCAAATAATTGCCCAATTATTCGTGCAGTGCGCGTGCAATGTGCGTGCGATGCACGGATTTTTTTTGTTAT